GAGAGAGAGAGAGAGAGAGAGAGAGAGATATGAGCATGAATCAATAACAATAAATCTATCATTAAACAAGTAATCGTACATCATCATCATCATCATCAGTGATGAACACAGCTCTTCGACATAGGCCTTAAAACCTTCTAAACTTATCTTAGGAATCGTCAAAGTCGAAATTAATATAAGACGGAAGCTGTGAGGGCCGTGACCCGCCCGCGTCTCTCACGAATCTCTCAACAAATACTTATGCATATTATCGCTCAGTTATAATTTGAAATAAATAATTCTATTAATCAATTAAATTAATTCCATGATATACAACGATATTGATAGCCTAGATAAAATAATTAACAAACAAATTAGTGATTTATAAACCTACTAAAGATACCCATTCAGTGACATTTTATACCCTAGAGCATTAATTATTTCTAGCACAAAGGCTATTTCTAACACAAAGGCAAAGGCACAGAAATAGTTTAGTTAGATTGTGTAGGACAGTGGTCTGCGTCCACAGCTCACAACCCAAATGACCCGAGTTCAAGTCTGGCAGGGACGGAGACGTTTGGGCACGTTTCCTATCATCAAACGTCTCTGTTCACCCGCCAGTAAATAGATACCTGAGACTTAGACAATTATCGTGGGAATCATTCTGGGGAAGGTCGGTAGTTGGCCGAGCGGAGTTTCAATAAGTCTAGACAAAGGCTTAATTTATATCCACAAAGTAATATCAAACTTGGGAGATCTCAACGCAACGTTAAATACGGATCCACTTGCAGTTTTGTGCAGAGTTCGTTCTCGTTCTCGTTCTCGTTCTCTCTCTCTCTCTCTCTCTCTCCCTCCATCAACTAGGCACCTCTGGATGGACCACAGATACATTTTAGAGACACAGAAATACTCATCACTGTGAGCGTGCTCAAAGACGTGTCCAATTGATCTTGAGAGCCGAGCATAACATGATGTAGAAAAGCGGTGAGCGCTCTTGTCTACCAGCCCAGAGACCGGGGTTCAGTCACCGGGCGGGACAGGACGTTCAGCAACGTTTCTTTTCACCTACTGTCTCTGTTCACCTTCAGTAGATAGGTACCTGGGAGTTAGACAACTGTTGTGGTAAGCCTAAGCATCGGCTTCCTGTCTCTGGCAAAGGAAGTTATATATTCTCTCCCGTCTAGTGCTATTGCTAATTTGTTTACAATTTTTGTAATTGTATGTCTTCTTATTCTAATAGTTTTATCGCCTCACATCTTCACAGCAGCAGGAGCAGCAGCAGCAGCAGCAGCAGCAGCAGTAGTAGCAGGAACAGCAGTAGCAGCAGGAACGGCAATAGCAGGAACGGCAGTAGCAGGAACAGCAGTAGCAGCAGCAGGAACAGCAGTAGCAGGAACAGCAGTGGCAGCAGCAGCAGCAGTAGTAGTAGTAGCAGGAACAGCAGTAGCAGCAGGAACGGCAATAGCAGGAACGGCAGTAGCAGGAACAGCAGTAGCAGCAGCAGGAACAGCAGTAGCAGCAGCAGGAACAGCAGTAGCAGGAACAGCAGTGGCAGCAGCAGGAATAGCAGTAGCAGGAACAGCAGTAGCAGCAGGAACGGCAATAGCAGGAACGGCAGTAGCAGGAACAGCAGTAGCAGCAGCAGGAACAGCAGTAGCAGGAACAGCAGTGGCAGCAGCAGGAATAGCAGTAGCAGGAACAGCAGTAGCAGCAGCAGGAACAGCAGTAGCAGCAGCAGGAACAGCAGTAGCAGGAACAGCAGCAGCAGGAACAGCAGTAGCAGGAACAGCAGTAGCAGGAACAGCAGTAGCAGCAGTAGCAGGAACAGCAGTAGCAGGAACAGTAGTAGCAGGCAGTAGCAGGAACAGCAGTAGCAAGAACCGCAGTAGCAGGAACAGTAGTAGCAGGAACAGCAGTAGCAGCAGCAGGAACAGCAGAAGCAGGAACAGCGGTATCAGCACCAGGATCAGCAGCAGGAACAGCAGTAGCAGGAACAGCAGTAGCAGGAACCGCAGCAGCAGGAACAGCAGTAGCAAGAATCGCAGCAGCAGGAACAGCAGTAGCAGGAACAGTAGTAGCAGGCAGTAGCAGGAACAGCGGTAGCAGCAGTAGTAGCATTAGTAGCAGGAACAGCAGTAGCAGCAGAAGGAGCAGCTGCAGCAAGTAGCAGGAGTAGCAGCAGCAGCGGGAACAGCAGCAGCAGTAACAGCAGTAGCAGGAACAGTAGTAGCAGGAACAGCGGTAGCAGCAGTAGTAGCAGGAACAGCAGTAGCAGCAGCAGGAGCAGCAGCAGCAGGAACAGCAGCAACATCAGCATCAGCAGCGGGAACAGCAGTAGCAGCAGCAGCGGGAACAGCAGCAGCAGTAACAGCAGTAGCAGCAGCAGGAGCAGCAGCAGCAGCAGGAACAGCAGCAGCAACATCAGCATCAGCAGCAGGAACAGCAGTAGCAGCAGCAGTAACAGGAACAGCAGTAGCAGCAGCAGAAAGCAGGAACAGCAGTAGCAACAGTAGCAGGAACAGCAGTAGCAGGAACAGCAGCAGCAGCGGAAGCAACAGCAGCAGCAGCGGAAGTAACAGCAGCAGCAGTGGAAGTAACAGAAGCAACAACAGCAGCAGGAACAGCAGGAAGGGCAGTAGCAGGAACCGCAGCAGGAGCAACAGCAGCAGCAGCAACAACAGCAGCAGCAACAGTAGCAACAACAGGAGCAGCAGCAACAGCAGGAAGGGCAGTAGCAGGAACCGCAGCAGGAGCAGCAACAGCAACAACAGCAGCAGCAGCAGCAGGAACCGCAGCAGGAGCAGCAACAGCAACAACAGCAGCAGCAGCAGCAGGAACCGCAGCAGGAGCAGCAACAGCAACAACAGCAGCAGCAAGAGCAGCAGCAGCAGCACCACCAGCAGCAACAGCAGCAAACAACAGGAG